TTTCTCTTGCATCGTCCAGAAAGTAAATCTGCAAATGTTTTATATTGAGTTTTTTTGTATATCCTACACCACTTGTTATACAGGATATATAAAGTTTTTGGGGGGAGTTTGTAACACGCAGAAGGGCTTAAGCTAGATCCATCTAGTGTTATAACAATCGATTCGGAAAATGATTCTTATTCTGATGAAAGCTTCTCTGTCTATTTGTCCGCCTAATGTCTGTCCATGTATACTTGTATTCAACCTAATGGTCGCAATATTCCGAGATATTTTGATGAAATTTTGATAAATTTAGTAGTAGTAGTTGACCTGTTTTGACCCAAGGACAAAAATGAAAATGGTTCGAGTTGATCCGCTCTTTCAAGCACTCCCCATATAACGCCTTGGTTTGAAAAATTGAACTGCACTTTTCAAAATAGTTCGACAAAACTAGTTGTGTAATAGAGTTTCGGCATTCGAAATTGATGCGAAAAATTTGGTTCGACCGGGGCAATTTTTTATACCTCGTCTTATATAACCATAGCAATCTCTGATATGATGGAGAAAAAGTATAATTTCTGGTTTTTTATGACCGAAACTGAAAAATTTTTAGGTAAGAAATTTAATTTGCTAACTTTGGATCACGTCATATAGTCCCCCAAAATGTGGGATTTCATAAAAACTATGCATTTGCATGAAAATAATGTGTAATATCTGATGTACTATTACCAAATTGAGCGAATAATTGTACTATGCGAAGTGATGCAGGGTATTTAGTGGTCGGCGTTATCTGTCTATAATGTTCTTATTTCTGTTTTATATATATTTTTCTGTGCATAACATTACTATGTTGCTGTGTCGTAGGCTCACAAACAAATACGTATATAAATACTTAGCGTTTCTAATATTTGCATAAATTTTTGCTTAAACATACAGTTAGAAATGTGTTTCAGTTAAAAGCGTGATATAAGAGAGTTAGAGAGCATTGCTCAAGTTGTGTATAAGGTTGCGCGATTACGACATAGGAAAAATTTTGTGAAGCTATTTTTGGCGGGCATTGGTCATCGTATTCGTTCAACAAAAGCAAGTAATATATAGTCAGCCATTAGATACCCTACACCATTTTGTCTAGTCGGTTACTCAACCGTCTTGGTAAGAATACCTCAAAAATTATATATTATTTTCACGTAAGCTTGAACCCAAAAATACGTAAACCGATATTAGACGGACAGACAAGTTTGGATCGAGTCAAAAAATGATTCTGGATAATAAAAGGGGGATCTATTTCAAATCTTTCCTGCTGTCACAAACGACCGAACAAACTTAATGTTGTACCACAATTGGTGTAGGCTATAGTAGGTTGTCGTAATTCCGTTTGAGAATAAAATTCTTACATAAAATATAAAATCGCATAGCTTTTTTAGGAGGAAATTTAAATGGGAAATAAATTCAAGCGCATATAGAATGGCGTCACATGTTAATGGAGAGGTCTTGTATGGACAAGTTATCGATAGTTATTTTCTATTATTATCTATTAAATAGGAATTTAATTAAAAATATAACAATTACACTTTCGTTGATTGTTGAAATGAGAAATTTATTAAACATTCCATGAGTTGGACTCATTGCATTTGTAGATTAACTTGTATCCAAATGTCATCAAAAATCATATGACTTGCTTTGTTTGTTGCATACCGTTTGATATGTAGCCGATAGACATTGATCGGAATGTATTAAAGTCTATAAACGGCTTTGCCCTTCGCTGGCAATATGATCCTTAACTTGTGAATTCGAAGAACTTGATATTCCGATACCGATCATTGCTGTATTTGGTGTAGGCGGTTGATACAAAACGATAAGTCGCGATAAGTCACGACAGTAAAGTTGCTATTCCACTATCATATATGATTTCTTACTCGATTAGTATGTTAGAACGGGAGGATCGGGGATATTTTGAATATTCTGAAAAGATGGCATAGAGGACTGACGCGTTCACTCGTTCTTCTTAAGCAAAAAAAAATTGGAACACTTTATCATTTAGCGAAGAACGATCAGGACTACGCTTAAGGTGAGTGTAGCTTTCTTACATTTTAAATTTGCAAGTCAAGATAAACGAAATTTTGTTTTTTCGTAAAAAATTTTGCTTTCGTAAAAGTTTTAAAGAAGAAAAGGAAAACGGACGGAGAAAAGGAAACGGGACTTTTGAACTTTTTCGCTATAATAATTATAACGGAAATATCGCTATTTAACACTTAACGGACCACGGGTTTTCATAACAACATACATGGCAAGTCTGAGCGGTGAAGTTACGAATGTCGGCCAGGGACTGGTTTATAGTCCGTATTGACTTGCTTAAGGTCATACATTTTTTTTTTTCTAATTATGTAAAAATTAAAAAATTTTCAAAATCAAAACAAATAACCAAATTACATACGTTTGCGACCGAATCTTTTATATTCATCACGTTTAGCCTAAAAAAGTTAGATATCCTTACTCTTTACAATTAAATCGAAATCGCTGGCTATTTCAATTTTTGTACGATACAGCTTGAGATTTTTATCGTTTACCTCCTGTAGCTTGTAAGTGACAACGAAAAGACCAGAAAGTAAAGGTTTTCATTCTCAACTTAACTTGCGCTATAGTCGTATCCGTTGGCTGATTTCTCCCATTTTGAACGCTGATCTGTGTGCAAGCACCTCGAATGCGTGTTTCAAATTTGAAGACGATAGCTTCATTCTGGCGGACAGGAGAATGTTTGCAGCAGGTATTGCTGCATAAAATTTGATTCATTTCTTGGCTCGTGCAAAAGTTATTAACTCTGTAACGGCGAGTATGCTTCTGCATAGTTCCTCAAATTTTGGTCGATCCCGTTCAAGATAAAGATTTCCTTTGTAACTATAAGCCACAGGCAGGCTCGTCGTGGCAAGATTCGTATTCAAAACGAAAATGGATAATTTGACAAAATGTAGAAATAATCAAAGTACTTAAGCTTAAAGTAAAAAGCAGCCTTTTCATGAAATGCTTTAAAATTGAAATGTTTCAATACTTGAGCAGTTTATTTTTGCATGATAACCATTTATGCACGTTGTGGAAATTATTACAATTCCTTATTGGTTAACTATGTCTTTTCATTCTCTTTAGTTAGCCTCTCGATTAACCAGAAATACTGATGACTTGTTTTAGACGTTTTATGGATAGAACATGTTCACTTTATTTTGTTTTCATTCGAACGTGAAATTATATTTGCTGACATAGACACCATATTTTTATATGTATATCGAACAATTTCAAAAACTAGAAAATGCAAGTTGCAACGAATTCGTTGATACGCATCTTTTTTTTTTTTTTAATTAAGAAAATGTGTTCGAAGCGAAACCAAATCGCGTTACTTTTTGTCAGATTTGATAACGGGCGCTAAGAAGTGGTTCAGATGCGAAAGTAACGTGCCAGAATAACAAAAACCCAATCTAAGAGAAATGAGGCGGTACAAACGATGGCAAAGCCTTGATTGGCGCCACTTAAGGCGCCATTCAATTTGATGGGGTGAGAAGGAAATATTACATCGTGAATTATTCGTACTTAACCCGATGACGGATTTCCAACCCATACGATTTAACTGCGCTAAGAATTGATCAGTAGAAAGGATATTGTGTTGCATCATGACAGCGCTGAACATCTTTAATCTTTAATGACGCGGCAAAAGTTGCAAAATTATGGCGGGTTAGTTCTGATGCATTCCATGTACAGCCTAGACCTCGCCTCCTTTGAATATCGTTTATTTCACTCTCTGCAAAACTTTCTTAACGATGTAACGTTAACTTCAGCACACGCTTCAGTTCTTCGGTTAGAAATTCCAGAAGCATTACAATAATGCATTAATTGTTTTACCACCAACAAATCACAATATCTTACTGAGCAAAATAGCACATATTTGGTTTAATGTTTATTTTTTAGTTCTGTTTAGTTATTATAATTATGAATATATTGAATGGCCTGACATAAGGACGTAAATTGAAATAAAAAAAAATTTAGAATTAAGCCCAATGATGTAGACAAACATTAATAGACATATTAACTAAACGAATTCTTTATTTTACAACAATATGTATTTTTATGTACATAGAGCATATTGATAAATTAAAAAAAAAAGATGTAGAATAACAAGAAACAAATTGCATTCGTCGTACTCTGAATTTTTTGCTTCCGACCATTAACTTCTTTTAATATTGTTTGCTTGACATTCATATTTATTGCGATATATTATTGCAAGATGAAAGGAAAGCCGAAATATGTTATATCGTATATCGCATGGCATATAATCGTTTAGCAGATATAATTTAAAGCATACTTTTATGATACATTTTTTTTGTACTAAGAAGGCAGTGAATGCATCGACAGTTACGGCTGATCTTGCACTGAATTGCATATTATAAATATATGTGTATATACACATATACAAATATCTGAACAACCTCGCCTTTTGCTACACTTTCTATGATGACGATAGTAAGTGTAATAAATAATAATATTTGGAACAAGTTTACATGATTTGCGCTTAGCGACGAAACGGTTCTTATCGTATACATTGTAGAAAGTCCCATGGTGGAACCTTATATAAACATTTTTTGCTTTAGTTAGATCATTCAGTTTTTGCTGATAGTTTTTCTATAGATCTGATACATATTTAAGCAAATTTTTCTATGATAGCATGGCATAGCTTCTGAGAGAATGCTCTATAGATTTACTTGTGAGTAGATAGTCAAGTCCGTTTTTATTTGTATAGTTTCGGAAAAGCAACCTTTTATTTGATACGAACTTCTTACTATTTCGTAAAGACGAAATTATCAAACTATCGTATTTCCTTACTTTAATGATGGGGATGAAAAAGTTAGCATATTTTCGTAATAATGATATAATAATTTAAGAATAACTTGTTTTGATTGTATAATTATTGCGTATCAGAATTTTTATTGCAACTTTCACTTATAGAATTTCTTTCTTTCTTTTTATCATACTTGTAGCCACTCAAATATCCGAAATCTGTTGCTTATATTATCAGCAATGAGTTCTGCGAACGTTTCAATTATTATGGCATGAGAAGTACATAAATAAATAAAAGCAATTCGTTTAAATAAAATTTTATTATCTTACAGCCATACTCGTTTTGTATCTTACCAGTAAATTGCAGTACGATAAGGACACTTCCACCGTTCTATTTCATGTATTTACAATGTTGGTGTATTTGTGCCCGCTGGTCGGGGCAATTGTGGCGGACAGTTGGTTGGGTAAATTTCGTACCATCTTATATTTGTCGATAGTGTACGCTATTGGTGGCGTTATCGTTTCGTTAGGTGCGGTCCCAATAATAACACTACCAAGAGAGTAAGAGTAAGATTTTGTCGTTTGAATATCTTTATAATAATGTTTTTCCATTTTATTTCTTTTTTCATCTTAGGCACGTCACTATAGTGGGCCTTGTGCTGATAGCAATTGGCACGGGCGGTATCAAACCTTGTGTTTCCGCTTTTGGCGGGGATCAATTTAAATTGCCTGAACAAACCAAACAATTGGCCACATTCTTTTCGCTATTCTATTTTGCAATAAACGCTGGCTCGACAATTTCTACATCTTTGACGCCAATATTACGTGAAGACGTTCATTGTTTTGGTGATAAGGATTGTTTTTCCTTGGCTTTCGGTGTGCCAGCTTTTTTAATGTTGGTATCTGTTGTGATTTTCGTAGCCGGCAAGCGTTTATACATAATGAAACCGCCAGCGGGCAATATGATTTTCGGTGTTTCTCAATGCGTCGTTGAGGCGATAGGAGGTTGGCGTCGTAATCGTAAATTGGATAAAAAAGAACATTGGTTGGATTATGCGGAACCAGTTGTTGGTAGAAAAATGGTGGAAGAGACTAAAACCCTGATGAAAATACTTGTGCTTTTCCTGCCATTCCCGATATTTTGGGCTCTATTCGATCAACAAGGTTCACGGTGGACCTTTCAAGCCACGCGAATGGATGGTGAAATTCTGGGTTTCACGGTTAAGCCCGATCAGATGCAAGTCATCAATCCTTTATTAATTTTGGGTTTCATACCGCTTTTTGATTGCATTGTATATCCAATTTTGAATACGTGTGGCATTAAAAGACCTTTACAAAAGTTAACGTTGGGTGGCCTGCTGGCAGCTACAGCTTTCCTACTATCCGCTTTTGTGGAGTTAAAATTGGAAATGGTTGAACCAGAGTTGCCTGGAGATATGACTTCACAGCTGAGAATCTACAATGGGATGCCATGTCGGTATCGATTCGATACGGACCTTCCAATGCCTGATTTCAAAAAGGAAACGCATTTGACATCGTTAGGCGTGTGGGAAGAAAAAAACATTATGGCTCCACAAATGATATCGTACAAGTTTAACGCTCATGCAGTTGACGCAGCCTGTCCGGGCATATCTGGAGAATTAAATATCATACCCGAAAAAGCTGTGAGCTATTTTATAGCTGAAGATCGCATGCATGAGTTTGAAGATAATCCAGAAAAGCCGAAATTAGGTAATCCGGTCATTAGGGTGCTTTTGAATGTGCCTCGACTTCAAGGTAATTTCAGTCTAACCGATTCGGCCGACGTTACCACTCCTGTAGAAGTCCTGAATGCTACTCAACTAATAACAGTGGCCCGAGGTGAAGTAATTCTCACATTTAACGATTTGCCAGTGGTAAACGTAACAGCTCGTGCTGGTGGGGCTTACGTTATTTTGGCGAATGGCAACGTGAGAGATGGATTTGTAAGCGAACCCTTTTAACATATTTATTTTAAATTGATTTTTTTTTTCTTCCGGAAGAATTCCGAGGTACATATTGTTACACAGCCCAATTCCGTGCATATAATGTGGCAATTGCCACAAATTATGGTGATAACAGCAGCGGAGATTATGTTTTCTATCACTGGTCTTGAGTTCTCTTTCACTCAGGCTCCGCAAAGTATGAAATCCGTGCTGCAAGCTTGCTGGTTACTTTCCGTGGCAATTGGTAACATGCTAGTGGTGGTTATAGCAAAATCGAAATTTTTCGAGTCACAGGTAAATTTTGTTGGAGCCAAACTACCTGAACGCATGTTTAAATTATTTTTCAATATAAGGCTGCCGAATTTACTTTATTTGCGGGTCTAATGGCTGTCGATATGTTCATTTTTATGCTATTAGCAATGAATTATAAATATGCTGAGCCTGCTCAGGACGTGGAAGAAGGCGATAAACCTGAATCTGCGCCTGATCCATCTATTCCACCCACTACTTCCAGAATGCCACCGCCAGTTATGCCTCGGCAAGCTTACACGGTTATACCTTCTCTACAACAACAACAACAACCTCAGTCACCGCCACCTGAAAACTCTAATTTGGCGCCAAACTTGCTCACCTACTCTTCGGGTCCTGAACAAACTGCTCAACGTTTTTCCTTGGCTTCTATGTTCAATACAAACAATAATCGTAGGCGGTCCACTCAAAATGGTGTAACTAACCCGGCCTGTGATAATAGTGAACAACAATAACAAACGAAATGAAGAAATGGGAAAACACAGCGAAACTATATTATTAATGTTTTAGATTAATTTTAGAGTTCCCTATGTACCAATTATGTTAAAAACAATTTTATTTTTTACGTATTATTTTTTTTTTTTGTATATGTATTATACGCGTTTAAGCTGTGCTTATGTGTACTTTGTATATTTTGTAGAAACTTTTTAGAAATTAATTTAATATAACATTCTTTCTGGGAATGTTTGAATGGTATAAGGTATAGTCGTTTGATCTTACACATAATTTTAAGTTATCTCAATGTATTTAACAGTCTGCCGTTAACAAAAATGAAGATATCGCCTAAAAATTTGCTATAGAATTTGGAAGTGACATAGACTTTTCAAAGGAAACGCTTACCGGGCTCATGTCCATATGCAACAAAAACTTTTAGTTTGAAAATAGAAAAAATCAGCTACGCCCACTCCATATTAAAAAGCATGAAAATGTAGTTGTTGTCTTTGTCTTTTTTACGATAACGGCGATGGGTATAAAAGATTCGATTATGACTGAATATAATTTTCTTACTGCAAGTTGTGAAAAGTGGCATATCTCATTCGTAGTAAGTCAGCTGATAGACTTCGAATCTGCTCAATTAACTGACTGGCAAGGCCAATTCGTTTTCGGGCAGATGTGTAGAGAAGAGATGGAATGAGTATCCATTCTCTTCCCTCTGCGTTGAACCATGTAAAGATCCCAAGTTGCAAGACCCCATTTTGGTTCCACACTTAGACCCACCTAAGTGTATAATACCTGTTGAGCGTAATTTAAGCTAATTTTTTAAGAATTGTCATCTTCTTCTATATGCATTACTAATTAAGTGCAGTTTATTGTTAACTTTTCTTACATATACTATTATTTGAGGTTGTTATTTTATGCTTATTTGTTATGCCGGAAGAATTAGAACAAAGTCAGTTGACATATTTCGAATCACATCCTCTAAGAAACCACATTCGAAGTAATAGCAAAACCAAACACATATTCATGACGGTTTACCTACCTCAAGTGGCGGGCGATTATCGAAAGGATTAATAACAATTCACAGAACATTTTTCGAGAAAAAGAGGCTCATCGAAGTTAGGTATTGGTAACCTGCTTGTAAATGCAGTGATACGAATTGAAATTGCAAAGCAAGCTACATTACAATATATTACAACATTTCACGAATTAATTGAGTTTATATTTGAAACGTCGTATATCAATCGGGTCCGATTGCTAGTCTTGAAAGCCTAGAACCGCCGCTAAGGCATACTCTGGCAACAATAACAAACCATTTTTTCCTCGTGTAAGTGTGAATATTTTCCACAATTCAAACCAATTGAGAATAGAAAAAAGAAATATTTAAATAAATATTTATAAGTAAAAGAATTTTTAATCCTTTAATCTTATTCTTAAGCTTATATTCAATCACTTTTAAAGTAAGTAAAATGAATTTTATTAAATCCTGCTCATTAGGTACTCGGATTGATTCGTTTCTTTGCAAATTTTTTATTTTTTTCCTTCTAAATCCTTCATAATATAAGCCACTCAATATTTGTGAGTTCATTGAAATGTTGACACAAACATACTTTAGAATTTTAAAATTTTATAATTTCTTCAGAGCTATTATAACAACAATTACGGATTGGATCAAAACCTAAGGAAAGCGACATGCTTCTTCAAAGTCATACCTCAATGACAATAACAAGTAGGTAAAAAAATTTGACTCGACCGAATTTTTTACACCCATTATCTTTATATACAAATTTTATTGTTCTTGTTGGTCTACAAGTAAAGACCAAAAACTAATTTTTTATTTTTTAAAATCACGGCTGTTGGAGCTTGTTTTCTATTGTGGGCGTGAACTTCCGCTGATTTAGTATATTTTCAATAGCAACTTGCATACAACGGCCTCTAATAGTTTTGGTGAATTTGACGTCGATGTCTTCGTCTTTGCGACCACGAGAATATTTAGTATAGCCAACTAAAAAAGAAAAAAAGAAAGAAAGACGCCTAATAAATATAATTTACAGCGTCTCTTAAGTTTACTGCTGGGTCTTGCAAATGTTTTAACAAAATACTTTGGCGTTGAGTGCAGAAATGATTTTAATTATGAAAGCAGTAATCATATGAGAAATTTGTAGATAATTGCACACTTTCAATATTCTTACTAATATGAATTAAGTCAGGCGAGTTAACATAATAAGCGAATTAGGTTCAAAACTTTGATAAAAATTAGGTTGACGACAAAATTTTGCCGCACTTTACATAAAACGTTTAAATTTAACGATGTTTAATGGTTTCTTCAGCGGCCGAATGGTGGTTTATAAGTTCGTTTACAATTCCAAAGCGATTAGATATGGACTATTCTCTAATATGGGCCGCAGAAGATCATTATCGATTACATCGACGATTGACTTCGGGACTTAAAGCTCTGGAATAAAATTTAAAAAACTACTTTACAGATTCGAATATTTACAACTTCACCGCCCAATGGGTCACATATGCTTTTAAAAACAACCGATGCCTTGCTTCGTTTCTAGAACTTATACCAAATGCGATGTCCCAAATGAAGTTTATTCACTGCACTTCATCCACCCCGTAGATGATAAAATAACTTCCCACATGAAGAATTTTACCTGCTTGCTTTGAAATGATAATCACCTGGTGGTAACAAAATATGACAGAACTTTCTGGCCAACATATTATACTTTTTATCTACTATAGAAAATTTGAAAGAACGTTTAAAAATAATTCGAGAGGAATAAGAAAAACAAGCACATAGAACGCTTATAGTTACCCGAAGAATTGTATTATGGCAATGTTAGGACAAAAATTTCATTTCACGCTTTCTTTACATAGTTTTCTTTCTTCGATGATCAGTCACCTAGGGAATGCCAGGGAATGTCTAAGGAAGAAAAGTATCGGGAAAGAGCGACAAGATGCGGACTACGGCATCGGAAAGTCTTTTGTTTATACCGATCGAGCATTGATAATAGCGTATGTTACCTATGCTATCCAAAGCTATCAGACAATATTATTTCAATATGTTGTAGTTTTTCCTTTATTACCCTACTATGCATGCCCTCTACATATAGAAAGGCAAACATAACTTACAGTATTAATTAAAGAGCAAAGATGATGAATATGCAGAGATATTGCATTAGATAATATTATCTCGAGTAACAAGAACAGCAAACATCGGTAAAGCCACCTAGCGATTGATGTTGGAACATTTTCATTGTTCTTTGCTACGAACTCTTATACTTGTAAATTCAGGTTTGCCAAATTATTGCAATATCCAGCAGTAATCTTCAAAGCTTCCATAGAGCATACACACAGCAATCAAATGAACGTACATTTTTTATATCCATTAAGTAAAAGGAAAAATATTATAAACCCATTGATGTAGTATCGTATAAATTTGAACGTCTTTCAGAGATTGTCACGTCGTACTCCAATACATAGCGAGGGGATGGATATGGATTGTAATAAAACTAATATCAGTTAATTGATCAATTATAGTACGTGAAGATAAGAACCTAAATTGTTAAACTGTGTGATATGCGTTATATGAACGCTTTTCTTTATTTATATCGTTATATACTGGTTGCCCCCGATTATACGCTATATGAGTATAAAATTTTCATATTTACTATTGAGGCATTTGCGCCGATTTTTCTCTCTGCGGCAATTCCTTGAAATCCGTCGTCAAAATATTTACGATCTTAAAAATTAATTTAAAAAATCATGATACAAGTTAGGAAAACAACTAATGGAGGTACAGTAAATGGGAGCGACCAGGCTGTTTCCATTTAGAGTAACCATTAATCATATTATAGACTGCGCTAAGTCGTGTAAATCGCGACAGAAGAATACTACTACTAACAACAATATCAGCAGCAATCGATGATTTATAATCTGTATGGAGAGTCTTTATATTCTCAAGTTGCCACCTAGAAGAAGCGGTCCTTTCGGAGTTACCTACAAGAGACAACCTTACCTTTCGACACGAAATCTATACGCAGGAGTATCGCATGCAGTATTAGCAGCAATCGATGGTTTATAATGTGTATGGATAGTCTTTATGTTCTCAAGTTGCCACCTAAAAGAAGCAGATCTTTCTTAGTTATCTACAAGAGATAATCTTGCCTTTCGACACGAAGTTCATAAGATGCCAAAAAGACCGAGCATAGTTTTAGTAGATTATTGAAAGAGTCAATAATTAATCGTTATAAAAAGAAAAAAAAAAGACGAGATATTTTTTCAAACTACTGTTTATCGCAAAGTACTCCTCTTCCCATCTCCTCCTATCTTTTGGGCACAAGGCCGTGCAGAACGTATAATTGGTCTTTTGAAGCTATCTGCTCAAGGAAACCATAACAGTTGGACCTGGGCTCGATTATAGCTCGAATAGCTTGGTCTATTCAAATATACGGGAAATGTTCGGAATAGCTTTTTCTATTGCTTGAAGCATTCAGATGGAAAAGTCATAGTCGTGTACACTACCTTATCTTATTAGTTATAGCCGTTTTCGCTACGCACAGAGAAATGATTCAATATTCCAATACTATTATTAGTTTAATAAACGTTTACCCGGGGTGGATGACGACTATTAAAGATTTAACCAAAATAAATGAACCTTAAAATCAAATGGTTTTTACTTAATTTTTCACTCATTGCATAATTTAAAGACTGAGTTGTCGTCTTTCATAAAAAAAGAACAATGGTATTGGTGGGTGGCGTAACAAAAAAAAAAAGTCAAAGATACACTTCTTGCGCTTGAACATTCAATTCATACTTACTTATGTCATAGGCAAAAAAAATGCAAAAATTTTTATTTTAATGTTCTCTGCAAAAAAGAATATTTTTATTTATTTTAAAAAATTATATTTACTTTTTTACTGTATGGGATGGATGGTCAAGCATCTCTTTTCTGTTCTGTAGTTGTTTTTTTTTTTCATCTTCTTAGAAGTCTCAGAACTTTGCTGTAAAAAGATTCTATTAAAATTATTATTATAAA